TAGAAGAAACCCATGAAATAATTGAAGACAAATAGTATTATTAGTGTTAATAACTGTAATAGTTACCGAATTTCCACTGAATATGCTTGTAGAAGTTGAGGGGTTTTATATGACATTTTTGTGTGTATAATTTACTAATTTCTGTTTTGGGGAAATTTGAAATTGGGGATTAAGAAATTTTAGTGGATATCAAAAAGAGAAAAGAAGGCGAAAAAAAGAAGATGGGATTAATATCTGGAATGTTGATGGGTATGGTGTTCGGGGTTGCGTTGATGGTTGGTTGGCGGCACATGATCCGGTACAGGAGCAGCAAGCGAATTGCGAAGGTGCTTTTCATTTCTCAGTTTTTGCAATTAATTAGTTCATATTTATTGATCGTGTTTTGTTAATTAGTGAGTGATTTTGGCCTGGTTTCTTTGAGAAGTATTTGTACAATTAGATGAACAAGTAATTTGAGGAATAAGTAGAATTTATATTAGTTTTATTGAAAAGAATATCAAAGTTTATTGTGCTGTTTCTGGCTGCTATTTTAGCTTAATTGTGTTTCCACCGTGATTTTGCTTGCAAGAAATTTTTGCCTCTTTCTTCGTTCGTCTGTGCCAAGAAGTAATTGTAAAATCACATAAACTAGTAATTAGTGGAATAAAGGGAATTATTATTAGTTTTGATGAGAAGAATTTCACTATTTAACATACTGTTTTTGGCTGAATAATGTGTCAATTGCAAGATTTTTTTTTTCCCCAGCTATTATGGCAACATTTATATCATTAGGTTGCAGCGAGATTTTTGCTTGTGAAATATAAGAACCATAGTGACAATTTTTATTTTTTTTCATGGGTTTTGACAGGCGGCTGACATAAAATCACTAAGCTCGCTCAACAGAGATGATCTGAGGAAAATCTGTGGTGAAAATTTTCCCGAGTGGATATCATTCCCTGTTTTTGAGCAGGTTAGAATGTTTTATAATTGGTTTCATGCTAATACATCATGACTTGAACATTGAGTATTTTGCTGAAAGATATTGAAATTATGGCTTGAGCAACACTTTAGAAGACTACTCTCTTTGTTTCTTTTCAGCTATGTTTCCTTATTTGGAGTTTACTTATTAGATGAAATACGCAGTGGGATCTTAAAACTTCCACTAGATCTACGGTTTGACTGATTGATCAGATGTTAGACTTATCTTCACAAATACTTGTGATAAAGCTCTGCTTGCAATTCTATATCTATGAGTCATCTTCTTTTGGTTGGTGAGTATCCTTTTCAGTGGAGAGGCGTGAGCACTGTGCTGAAAAGGAGTTTTAGTGATTTAGGGCCTGTTCTTTTTGCTGGCTATTTTCAGTTTTCAGTTTTCGAAAACACTAAAAACACGTTTACTTACCTATTTTCAGAAACGAATTTCAAAAAATGAGCTTAAAATTTATAAAGAAAATGGAAAATGCCAAAAAAGTTGTTTTGGCTGTTTTCAGTTAAAACCAAGCCAAAACTCTTTTTTTTTTTAAAAAAACAATTTTTCAAAATGACAAAAAGAACGCATTTTCAGCAATCTCAAAATGGACACTTAAAACACAAAACTCAAAATGAATTCAAAACTCAAAATTAAAAATGAAACACGAAGAGAACAACCCTAGTTTCTTGCTCGCTTAATGAACTAAAAAGTGGTTCTGAGAGTTAGAGAATGTTAGGTACCAGCACAGTTTATAATGCAAAAGAACAGAATGTAAACTTGTATTTGTATTGCTGAATTATATGTAATGAAATTACGGAAATGATAGGCACTCGAGAGGCCTATCTCTCCCAACTTGTCCTCCCCAAATTCACTATGTATGAAATAAACACATTAACCACCATTTTATTCTTTGGCTGTCTACCCTTACTTTTGGAGATACCCATACTACCCTCCCCTTAACTACTCATAGATGGTTAAGCAACTGCTTGGGGTCTATCAAAGGGAACAAACACAAACAATAACTAAGAAACTAGAGTAGATTGCTAACTACTCGCTGGTTCAACCTCAAATTTAATTTCTTGGAAAAGGTGAGAAGCCAAGAAGCCATACCTTTTTTCTTCCCCTCTATTACAACTCCACTTGAGAGGCAGTCCATTTTTTTCAGAATGAATGTGTTAATCATGCATTTGAGGAGGATAGATTCTTGTGACATGTAAAAGCATGTTTTTTCTTTGTTTAATAAGAAATTACTCATCTACATAGATGACCGGAGTATGAGTAGCGTTGTGAAAAAATATATTATTTGTTTTTAGATCATTCTTGGAACATCATTTCTTTTCTTAATCTTATATTTGTTGTTTTCACAAAATAAATATTGTTGAACACTCTAACCTGCACTATTATTCTTTTTTTTTCCTACTGTAGTAGATCATTGCCATTGTTGCTTCTTCACGAAACTCTTCTTTGGTTAATCTTTCAGGTGAAATGGCTGAACAAACAACTAAGTAAACTCTGGCCATTTGTTGCTGATGTATGCTTCTTTTCCTTTATCAATAATCACCTAGCTCTCATTTGTGTGACTCACGGGCATTCACTTGTTTTTCAGTATTGAATATTTTGTTTCTTAATATTATTATGCAGTAATTCCTGCAAAACATGTTGAATTTTAATTTGTATTTTCCCCCTTTTCCCGAAATGAAGAGGATATAGTAACATGATGCTGCTAAGTCATCAAGTTATTGAATGTATATGCACTCATAGATTAATATAATAAGGCATTGGAAAGTTAAACCACCA